AGAGAGAGAGAGAGAGAGAGAGAGAGAGAGAGAGAGAGAGAGAGAGAGAGAGAGAGAGAAAGTCTGCACCAGCCACTCCCTTTGGAAGAATTTCTAAAACTACACAAAACTCTGAACTGGATGCTGGCTTAGGAAACTGGTCCCTTTTACCTCTCTTTGTCCTAACCAACTCTATGATCTTACAACCCAAGCTTTCAAAGATCCTGATTGTCAACTAGCTGCCCCTGGAGTATTTCTACTGTAGCTGTATTCTATTTTATTTCAGGCCATGTGCAAAGTCAATATGGAGTGTGGAAAAGACTATTTAAAGCATAGAGTTGGTTTTTGCATTATCCTCGCTACTTGTAAAAATAGCATACACTCTGTCATTTTGAGCAAGAATTGTCACATAGCTCTGCTATCTGAACTTGACCACATGACTGTGCAACTCTGTTGGCCTTTGATGATATAGGTCTAGTATAATTAGGCTAGTCTGTAAAGAATATGAATAATGTGTTCTGACATTTTGCCATTTGTGAGTCAATGAATCATAAAACCACAGAATGATATACCTTTATCAATGGTGGAGGGGTTAGATGCCCTCCAGACAAAAATCATCTAACTGAGGGGGAAGTCAGTTTTCTTTTAAAAATTCTACAAGTAGGGCTGGAGAGTTGTCTCAGTAATTAGGAGCACTTGCTGCCCTGACAAGGGATCTGGGTTCTACTCCCAGCACCCACCAGGTGGCTCACGATCATCTGTAACTCCAGTTCCAGAGAATCCAACACCCTCTCCTAACATTCAAATGTACAAAGAGCACATACATGCACATAAAAATAGATAAACAAATCTAAAAATAATTAATACCACAAGCCCTGATCTAGGTTTTAAGGCAGAGACTTTTCAAAATACCAGCTATTTCAAAACATTCATATTCTTAAGGAATGGTCAGTAAAACAAATTTTAAATCATACCATTTAATGATTAAGTAACCTATTTGCTTAAAAAGAAAGGGAAGTGATAGCTATGAAGACTGCAAAAGCAAGCAGCTCCATTCATGTTTATCTCCATATATTGTGAGGCACTCTGACTGGGGCTTACACAATCTGTCATACTTTCAATGAGCATGCAATACTTTAGCCTTCAGCCAACATGCTCTTAGTTACAATGCATAAGGATACTTTCCCCTGTGGTTAACCACAGTTATAACATTGGTAAAATAACCAACTAGAACTTCAGCCAGAGATTAAAGGCATTGAAATATAGCAGAAGAGATTTAATGACAGATAGAAACACTTCCTGACAAGAGAGTTATTAAACCACTAGAATGGCTTACCACAGACGAATGGGCTCTTTACAGATGGCAGTTATTTCTCCTTTATCCAAAGTCTATTCAAGGAAATGGATTGGCAATGAACGACATCTCGACATCTCTGTTTGTTCCAGTAAATTTATTTTCCCCTACTTACGAGGGTGATTACAAGCATTTCAGAAAACCCAGAGATAAAATCTCACCTATTGTAGCCGAAAGGTTTCTCCAGTCTCACTGGGCCCTGTGGTCCCGCAGCCGCTTATAAAATAATCACTCAGAGGCTTAATATTATTTACAAACTGTATGGCCTATGGCGGGCTTCTCACTAGCTAGCTCTTATAGTTTAATTCAACCCATAACTATTAATCTGTATGTCACCACAGGTTCCATGGATTTACCTGCGTCCCATTACATGTTGTTCCTTGGACTGCGGGCTGGCATCTCTCCCGACTGCATCTTTCTCTCTCCTGTCTCTCTCCTTGGATTTACTGCCTGCCTCTAAGCTGCCTTGCCATAGGCCAAAGCAGCTAATTTATTAACCAATTGGAACAACATATATTCACAGCGTACAGAAAGACATCCCACATTAACCTATAACCCCACCAGACTAAACATACAAAAGATGAGCACTTGAGCATTGTACATTCTTTCCTGTTTTCTGGTGGGCACTTCCATTTTGCATGGTTTTGTTCATGGTATGAAAACATTTTTTCCTGTCTGACTGCTTGACCGACTAGGACATTTCTACATGCAAGACAAAATACCCAGAGAAGGTGTGATCAGATGTGTTTGTAACATGGACATGTCATTTACTCCCCACATACCGCGACTCATTTTACTTCGTGTCCCTTCAGGGCTGTAAACAAAGAAGTCTACCACCTAGGTCAGCAGTGTCCAGTTCTGAGTGTGAAAATAAAGACACCAGGGCCTGGAGAAATGGTTCCGTGGTTAAGAGCACTTCCAGAGGACCCAGGTTCTGTTCCCGGCACATACATACATGCAGGCAGACATACACATAAAAATAAATAAATCTAACAAAGATAAATCTAACAAAAAAATACAACAAAGACACTGAAATTCTCTTTCGAGTTCAAAAGAGATGTCCAGATGTGAAGCCATGAACAGAAATGTGGAATCAAATATATCTATAGAAACCAGTTCCCTTTTTTCATCACCAAAAGCCGGAGGTAAAAATACTTCTCAGATGTGTAGAGAGTGGGGAAGGAGGTGTGCATACAGGCTAGCGTCTACACACCATTTCTGGTGGCTCTGGGGCACACTGGATGGGAAACCATGTTAACAATGGAGTTCCTCCTGTCGGGGAGCTTTGGAATCCTAGAAGACACTAGAACCTGTCTGGATGAGCCTGCCGGGAACTCTGGCAGTCCTAAGTTCCAGAAGTCTAGAACTAAGTGGTGGGACCTGCCAGATTCAAGCTTCTCGTGGACCTGCAGAACAATGGTTACTGACATACAGCCATGGGAAGGACTCCAAAGCAGGCAGACGGTCTTTACACATTTTAAAAAGAGACACACTCACGCCAGGTAGGTGTGCTGAGGGCTTCCCACCTAGTAGAGGGCCCCCACTCCTCCTATTGCTTTCTCGCCCTCCAAGGTGAAGTGTGATGCTGAGTGTATGGGGGCGTGAGGACAAATGGAACACATGAGCAGTCTCAGCG